TAGAAGAAAAGGCATGGGAAACCTGGTTCAAATTCCAACTGTGACACTCACTGGTAGGGCGATCTTGGACAAGTTATCCAATTTTGCAAAGTGTCCATTTCCTTCTCTCCCACATCAACCAGAACACCCACTAAGTCTGACCTGCGCATGGCTGTCATGAAACAGACTGGAGACTCTGCACTGGAGGAGGATGGTGCCTGCTGTAGTCATCTCTCTCATCTCCCCCAACAACCAACCCAGCCACTTGGTGCGGCACCAAAGGGCCAATATATGTCCATTTGCAGAACTGAGTTTCATAATCCAAAAATACTCATGTAGGCTTCTACGTGAGTAGAACTACTAAAAGAACTGGGTCCCTCTTCCCGGAGCCCTCAGCCCCTAGAACGTCTGTGTCATTTATGTCACAACCCCAGAATGGTCACCCCTGACCTCCCACCTACAGTCAGGCCATACCTCCCCCACCCACCCTACAAAACACTATTGACAAGGTTTACCTACTTCATCTGTTGGCCTGTACTCCCCACTCTCCAGAATGTGAACAGGGACCCTTGTCATTTTAGTTCTTTGCTTAAACTCCAGCACCCAGAATAGTGCCTGACACAGACACAAGGAATACTTGTTAAATAACAGAGAGGAAGACCATCCAGACAGTTACAACTTCTCAGGCCCCAAGGTTCCTCCTGACGTCCTTCTCCTTCCTCTCTCTGTTCTGAAATGTCCCCATCCTGCCACCCTTTCTACATAAAGGCTCCCTGGCCAGCCCAGCTCAGCATCCCTTTTTCCTTCTCTTAGGGAGGGCCAATAGTCCTTACTGCCTATACAATCCGTGTTGCACTTTTTTTTAGACTACCTTAGACTGAGTTATCTTTGCATGTGGCTCTCTTACCTCCCTATATTTTAAGTTTCTAAAGACTTGTTATTTAGCACCTTTACAGAAGAATTTCAAATATACACAATTTCAAAAAACTTGAGTGTTCTTCACAGTACCAAGATTTTTAATTTAAATTCTGATCGTAGAGACAGATAAAATATTACTTTGCTAAGCTGATTATAATAACTGTTCTGTGGTGTCTAAACGTCGCTGAGATAAATACTTATAAACTAGTTGATATTCTCAGGTACTACTTACGGTTTTTAGGAAGGACTATCTGAACCTACTAACTGACCTTAAGGAACTTGTTCTTTATAATTCATTACTGATTTTGTTATAAACCTTCTGTCTTCTTCTCTGTCCAGCTTTCAGGTATAAAACTTCTTGCTGCTATAAATATACACTCTTCTCTCTCAATCTGCTGTGAACAGCGAGGTCAATAGGTTAGAACCTAGGCCTAAAACAAGGGTGAATCAGCACAGAATAGGGCTGTGACGTAGGAAGGAAGAGGGAAAGAAGAGACCCAGTGCTTATTTTGAGCTTACACAGGTGCTCCATAAATCCCCATTGATTAAATGAGTCACCAACTCAGTCGTTCCTCCGCAAGTAGCAGGGAAGTAAACGCCAGCCATGTTGGAGAGTTGGTACTTACAGTTCCCAAGAGCCCACAGCCTCACAGAGCATGCTTCTATTATATCACTTGCTCTTGACAACTTTGTGAGGTTAGGTGGCACAACCATCATCGATATGATGATATTCCTTTTTCAGGCTAGGGAAACTTCATCTCAGAAAGGTGACATGAGTTGTCCAAAGTCGCACACCTGGTAAATGCCCAGGCATCCCGTCTTTTTCATTCCTTCCACCAAGCCCATTTGTAGAAAGCCACTGTTGTTTCCCCAGGTAAAAGAATTTCAGGTAAGGCTCTTATGTAACTGATAGAGCAAACACTGCTATTATAATCTACACTCTGGAAGAGCATTTGCCAACAGTCATTGCTTACTGCTAACAAGCAAATTCAATTTCTCATTTGTCTCCAAAACAAACAGGGGACAGAGATCAAGAAGATGAGAAATACTTCTAAATTTGGCTGTTTCAATGCTATTTTATAATTGTAATTTTTCTGTGGTTCACATTAAAATAGCCTGAAACACCGGACACTAAAAACTCTCCTTGCTCTCTACCTGAAAGCTTAATCTATTCCATCTAAGGAACTTATTTTTCATTGCATAGAGGCTGCTCAGATGTGTAAAAAGTGAAGAAGCTCAATTACAAAACTGGGAATCCAAATTAAACTCCAGTTTAAAATGCCTGATGTATATCCATCTTTGGCCCATGGTAAAATTGCATGCTCCACGGTCGGAGCCAATATGAACTGTGTTCTCACCGCACTGCATTCTTTTCCTTTCTAAAACATTTGTGTGAGTCCTTGTCAATCAATTAATATTTATTGAGGGCCTACTACATGCCAACCATCTAGGCGCTGATCAGGTATTTACTGATTTAATGTTTGTCTTCCCCACTAGACTACAGGCGCCATGAGAAGAGTTACCACTGCTTTTTCACTCATCACTGTGTGCTACAACCCAGCAGAGAGCCTAATACACAGCAGGGGCTCAATAAACATTAGATGAATGAATGAATATGGGGAGGGGAGGGGAGGAGAAAGGAGATGTGAGGAGGGGAGAGAGGAGAGGCCACTCCTTTGTATGTAAAGAAACCAGGGCTTTGCTCTGCCCAAACACGCCTTATGATCCACCAGCGATCTGATGAATTCTGAAAGGCACCACATGCAATGCACAGCTGTAAGTACAGCAGCTGTCATGCAAAGGAGCTGAAGTCCAGAACTATGAAGAATTCAGCCCTTTGTTTTTCTCTGTCTCATAATGAAAATGAAGTCAAGCCCACTGTCAATCTACCTGTCGGCTCTATGTATTCAACATGCGGCTTTCAGCAATACTAAGTTAACATTGCCTCTGAATGACATTTATGTTGATTCGCTCTCTGACATCACTGCCTGAAAAAATACTACTTAAATGTTTGAGGTCACACATAAGACCTAAATAGAACTGAGTTAATACTTAAAAAAAAAAAAAAAAAAAGACTCCATTTCAGGTCTTTGAAAGCTATAAATTGGTTTTAACTGAGTATTTAATTTAAAAGTAAAAAAGGTTTGACTCATTATTTAAACTGTCCAAAGCTTAAGTCTTAGAGAGCAAACAGATCTCTTTACCAGCAAGCTGTTAAACACAGACTGTAAGTTCCAAGAGAGAGCTTTGCAAAAGCATAAGTCTTTTAATTAATTGAAACCTAGGATTCTGAGTTATAGGCTGCTCAGAGTAGTACAAAATAATAGGATAATAATAAATATGAACTATTTAAGTCAATACGAAACACCAACAGTCTACCCAGGTATAAAAATGCAGATATCAAGTTCATATATCACTAATAAAACAGAAAGTATATGTTCAAGTTTTTCCCCAAATCCGACTAAGAGAAAAATAAACAGATAAACAAAAAAGCAAAAGAGTAATGACATATGTTCTAAACATGCACACCAAAGTATGCCAAACAGAGAAAAGCGTTAAAGTAAGGTTGCTATTAAACTACAAATCTATTTAAGTATAGGAGTTAGTTATGATTAGTGGCACAGTAAAGAGAGTCCTGTCCTCCCCAACTCCAGCCCCCTACAAATAACAACTTACCTGGAAGGCTGGTAACATTAGTTGTAAACAAAAGGAATACTAAATAAAGGAACAAGTTGAATTACATAAAAAGTTTTCACTGCAAACAACTAAGCACTAAGCCCAATATTAACAAAATCCCAGAACTCAGTTAAAAGTTTAAAAAAAAAAAAAAAAAAAAACCTGGGAATTTTCTAGACTCTGATCATCTGATTCAGGATCAAAAGCATTGAACGCTCTAAAGCAGTGACTAAATCACATTCAATAAATAGACAATGCATATTCAGTAAAAGGCCTACTAACTGTCTCACGGGGAAATTAATTGTATTTCCATTTTGTGGTGATACACAAAGCATACATACTTGAAAAATCAGAACAGGCTTCTTGCCTACATTCCTTAAAGTCGATTTTAACATTTTCCTAAATCGAGTTTACGACATGATTTTATTTACAGTATGACTTCCACAACTCGCTTTGCAATGTTCTGGGTAAAGAATAGACTCGTTCGTTCAGATGACTAAAAAAATCTACTTAACACCTCAGGCGAGCAAAAAAAAAAAAAACCCACAAATCTGTATTTGTATCAATAAGAAACTATCATACTGTGCTTTGGCATATTTTCAAACTGGGAATCTATGAACGATTCCTGAATTCACATTAAAATTCTTCATTAAAAAAAAAAATTCCCAACGTTGTCAGTATGCCAGCTGGAAATATGATACAGCCAACCAAACTATTTTCCTACCCAGAAACTATCCCCTTCCTTTTTAAGTGTGACTACACTTCTACCTTTTGTTCGAAATCATCAGAAGTCGTAAAACTATGAGAATTGAGTCAAAACGACAAAACCACACGCTCTCTAACTTCCACATCCCCCTGGGCATCCTTTCGGAAGCCCACCGCGCCCGCTGTCTCCCTGCCCTCCCCGCCGCCTCCTGTCTCTGTCTCTGCCTCCCCCACTCCCCCACCCCGACTCCGCCGCCGACGCGGCCCGCGTCCTGCGCGGCGGGCCCGAGTCTGCGGAGCCGGGGCTGTCACGCCAGCCGCGAGAGGACTACAGCGCCCGCCGTGAGCGCAACTGCGGAGCGCGGCTCGGGGTGCCAGCGGGAGAATGTCCGGCCCCGAAGCGGCGTCCGCGCACTTTCCGCCGCCCGGGAGCTAAGTCACAAGTTAGGAAACAGCCGGAGCGCGCGGCGGCCGTGATTCAGCAGCGGGGCCGGCCGGCAGGGCGGGAGGGCGGCGATCGCAGGGCCTGAGCGGGACCGCGGGGCGGGAGCGGGGCCGGGGCCCGGCCGAGTCCGGAAAAGGTCACCGAGACGCCGCGGGCGCCGCCGCCCGAGCCCGCGACCCGCCTCGCGGTCGGGCCAGCAGCGGCGGGGGCGGCAGGGCGGCGTCCCAGACGGGCGTGGCGCCGGGACCGGGCGGGCGGGCGGGCCGGGGGCTCCTACCTTTCCGGCTCTTGGGGGAGCTCCGCTTGCTCCGGGCGCTGGCTCGCTCTTCCTCAATCGCAGCTGCTATCTCAGGGTTGTCTTCCCCATTGTACCAGACCAGGAGCTCCTCGCCCGGCGCGATTGGCTGCGGGGAAAGAAGAGACAAGCGCCGGGCCAATCAGAGCGGCGGTTGTTGGCGGGGGCGGGGCGCGCACCGGGACGCGGGCGGGAGCGGCGCCGATGGCAAACAGCTGTCGGCGGCGTCGCGCGCACCCGGCCGGCAGGAAGGGCTCCCGGCCCCGTGCGGGCCGCGCCGGCGCCCGGAACCCTCTGCTGGAGGGAGGACCGCACCCGCGGCGCGGGGCGAGGGGCGCGGAAGGCCAGGTGACGAGCAGCGGAGCCCGGGTGCTGTCACAGCTTCCTCTTTAAAGCCTCACGACGGCCCACGCACGAGAAAAAATAAAACATGGGACCATTTTAAAAGCTCACGAAATCTAAGTCGAGGAGAAATATAAAGCATAACTGAAAAGCGTGCGGCGTGGAAAGCGGAGTGCTGAAAGATAACGACCAGCGCGCATTCCAGACCAAGAGCAACTTTAACAGGACAGCGAGGAGGAACCACGCGCAAGCACTTACAAATGCGCCGCGGTTTCTATCCCAGAGCCGCCAACGGGAGGCCGCCCGGGGCCACCAACCTGCTCGGGTCCAGGGAGGTCAGTGCCTCGCCCTTCGGACCGGACATCAAACTTCCACATTTTAACTTTTAAATACAGCAGGAAGTATTTCCCATGTATTGTGCTCCTAAACCATCACATTCTTAAGCCACGTATGGCTGGAAGCAGTGAGGGCCACCATCAAATTGATTCCACCCAGAACAAGATCCCGAAGATCCACTGAGTGCAAAGTTCACACCCCTAGAATTTGGGGAAACAGCTTATTGGTTTCTCTCACAGCGATTGATCTGTGAGAAAAGTTTCAAGGCTATCAATACAAGTAAAATTCTATCTAAAATCCACTGAATACAATGAGAATCCATGAGTCCAGCCTGATGTGAATGAATGCAGGAATGACCAAGTAAATAAAAAGGAAAGCTCTTCCTTAAAGGAGATCCCAACTGATCAGTAAAAAAGAAATGTTGGAATTAGAAAATCGTCATTTGGCAATCATCACAGTAATGATTAATTCGGGCAAGAATCATAAATGGATGCTAAAAGCAGGTAAAAGTTTGAGGAGTAACAAAATACATAGCCTCAGAATATCTCCCCATAAAATATTTATTACAAAAGAAAAAAACAACACTTTTGTAATAAGACATATCAACATCATATGTCTCCTGATATAATGCACAGAAAACAGAGCATCACTTCTGGTAGATTTCTGCCCAAAATGCATACATCGAATCTAATCATGATGAAACATAAGAGAAGCTCAAACTTTGGGACATTCTACAAAATAACCAACCAGTTCTCAAAACTGAAAGGCTGTAAAAAAACAAAGACTAAGGTACCAGCCAAACACATGAGACATGACAATCCAATGTGAAAACGTTTTCTTTTCCTACAAAGAGATGACTGGAACAATTGACAGAATTTGAGTCAGGTGTACATATTACCTAATAAAACAATGTGTTGCTGTTAGCTTCCTGATTTGGATCTTTGCACAATGGTTATCTAAGAGAGTGCTCCTGCTTTTTGTTTTTTTCTTTTCTTTTTTTTTTTTTTTTTTTTTGCAGGGAGGGAAATTCCACCTACAGTTTAGAAACAAAATAGTTCCTCACTTCAACATACCTTCTAGTCTAGATAAAGCCCCTAAAAGTAAATATTACTTGGTTTAATTCACTGCAGAACTTGTTTCTATAGTCCAAATTTTAAAATATTCTAAATTATTTAAAAGAAAAGGCAGCTGCTGTTTCCTTGGCTCTCCCCCACCCCTAAGAAGGCTAAAATCTGCCTTTTTCTTACTTTTGAACCAATACATGATTTCCCTTCTTGAATCAGTTAAATCTAACCAAAAAACTTACTTTAATATATAAGATATTAATGAGTTAAAACAGCCATCACAAACACCTTTTGGCATTCTGATGAGCTAATCTGTTGAAACAGCAGGCTTATGTTAAAGTAAACTGTTTCTAGATTATATAAATTCCAAATGTACAGTTTCTCTATTTTTTGTTATAAGTCACATATTTAAGAAATGGTGCTGGTCAACTAATACTTGAAATGACTAGAGTTCTCAGAAATATGTAAAGTCTTAAAACCAATGCAAAAAAGAATATGGGAAGGAGTGAAAACAAACGCACTCCCCATTAATTCCCCACTGAAATGACATAACCAGAGAACTGGCTAGAAGATACCACCGGACATTTTCAAGATACCTCTAAGAATAAGAACTTAAGTTTCCCTGTTCACTCCACTGCAGTTGTCAGTGAAGTGATAACTGAACTAGCAACTTGGTGAGGGCGCTCATAAACTCTACTTGGGAGGGCACTCATGTCCTAAGATATTCTTGTTGCTGCAAAACACACAAAGTAAAAACACACCAGAATCTGTATCACAAATCAAATATAAAATTTCTAGCACTGGTGAAGTGTTAGATCAAGAGGAACATATTTGTTAGCTGCTAAATAGCCTTCAAAATTATTAGCGGGCATAGTGGCTCATGGCTGCAATTCCAGAACTTTGGGAGGCCACGGTGGGCAAACTGCTTGAGCACAGGAGTTTGAGACCAGCCTGGGCAACATGGCGAAACTCTGTCTCTACTAAAAATACAAAAACTAGCCAGGCATGGTGGTGTGTGCCTGCAGTCACAGCGATTCGGGAGGCTGAAGTGGGAGATCACTTGAGCTTGGGAGGCGGAGGCTGCGTAAGCCAAGATTGTGTCACTGCACTCCAGCCTAGGAGACAGAGCGAGACCCTATCTTAAAAATAAATAAATAAATAAATAAATAAATAAAAATAAACTAGTAGTAGAAAACAAAACACCACAAAAATTATTAGTAACTTGAAATGGTTATATTACGGAGCTATATATGCTTCGCAACTTTATATTAAAACAGCTACACCAATAGACCCTATGAAGAGGAAAACAATAATTTTTTTTTTAAACCAAGGCTTGTTTTCTTCCATACTATATTGTGTTTTTTTCTTCTTCTGTACAGGTTAGCATTTTTAAGTCAAATTCAGAAGAAAAGAAAAATTAATCCCTTCAACAATGGAAATATAAATCCACATTAAAAAAATAAAGTCAAAAGACCAAACAACCTCTTTTTAAATATATTTTGATATTAAAGAAAAAATTAACAACAACAAAGATTTTAAACTCTTCCCACTTTCTCTTTGGGTTCAGACAGGTATAAAACCAAGAATCTGCTCTATATTCTCTTGTTTAAACATCAGCATATATAAATAAACTTGAAAGTTTACCAAACAAATTGGGAAGAAGCAAGGGTTCTAATATTCCTTATACTGGATAAGGAATAATAGAAAAATGTGTCAGAAATATTAGAAAATTAGAGAAGTATTCCAGAATCGCTCGAAAACACAAAAGTGCATCCAGTCATACCCACCTACAATCCAGTCCCCAGCTCGGTCTTTTAAAAAGTCATCGGTCAGCTCTCGGCCTCAGCTCTCCAATGGGTGAACAGCACTTAAGCCTAAAACTCACCCATAGCTGGGCGTGGTGGCTCATGCCTGTAATCCCAGCACTTTGGGAGGCCAAGGCGGGCGGATCACCTGAGGTCGGGAGTTCGAGACCAGCCTGACCAACATGGAGAAATCCTGTCTCTACTAAAAAAATACAAAATTAGCCGGGCATGGTGGTGCACGCCTGTAATCCCAGCTACTTGGGAGGCTGAGGCAGGAGAATCGCTTGAGCTGAGGAAGCAGAGGTTGCTGGGAGCTGAGATCGTGCCATTGCACTCCAGCCTGGGCAACAAGAATGAAACTCCGTCTCAAAAAAAAAAAAAAAAAAAAACCTCACACATCCCTGTGGACCTCACCAGCCTCATCTCCTAAGATTCCTCTCCTCCTCCCTCCAGCCACATGGGCTTTTGTTCTATTCCTTTAAAATAAAAAACAAAAGCGGTGGCTCACGCCTGTAGTCCCAGCACTTTGGGAGGCCAAGGTGGGCAGATCACGAGGTCAGGAGTTGGAGACCAGCCTGACCAATATGGTGAAACTCCGTCTCTACTGAAAATACAAAAATTAGCTGGGTGTGGTGGCGCACGCCCGTAGTCCCACCTACTCAGGAGGCTGGGGCAGAAGAATCGCTTGAACCCAGGAGGCGGAGGTTGCAATGAGCTGAGATTGCGCCATTGCACTCCAGCCTGGGCGATAGCATGACTATATCTCAAAAAAAAAAAAAAAAACCATTAGCTTATACTTACTCCAAAGCCTTTGCTCCTACCACTCCTCTTCCTGGATTGCTCTTCCAGCAGACCTTTGCGTAGCCAGATCCTTCCTATCCAAGGAGTGGGGTTCAAACGTCTTTCCTCAGGAAGGCCTTCCCTGACTCACTGGAGACAAAGCAGCCCTCTCCTACCTAGCTAGTCTCTTATTACATTTTACTGTCTTAACACACTAATCGCTACCGGAAATTACTTTCTTATTTACTTACTATCTGCCTCTTCCCCTGTAACACGGAACATCCACCAGACCAGAAACCTTGTCTGTCCTGTTCACTACCATAGGAGAGAACTCGGTACACAGCAGACTCTCAATAAATATTCACCAAACTAACGAACAGAGGAATGAATAGATAGCAGACTTAACAGCTAACTTTCAGGAATTTTAAATCGTTTGTAATCATATTACAAACAAAACCAGTGCTGAGATTTCCCAATTATCTGGGTGTAATAATAAGCTGAGAAGATACAGAGCCCACAGAGCATCACATGTAATTTCTTTAGAAAACCTAACCCACGGAACACTTAATCTAGAAGAATAGAGTTAAGATAATCACTAGTAAAAAATCTGAGAGGCTTTGTACATACTTGAGCAAATATCAAAGATCAAGACTGGGGGAGGTCTTCAAAAATCAGAACTATGTTATTTCGGACAAAGGTAAAAATAATAGTACTAGTATAGCTAGTTAACACTTGAGGACTTACACTGAACTAAGAACTGTTCACAGAACCTTTTATATATATAGGCTTGTTTAACCTTCACAACAAACTATGAAGCAGTTTTATTATTACCTCCATTTTATGGATGAGAAAACTAAGACACAGAGAGATCCTTCGCATGGTCACATATCTAGAAGCCAAAATTTGCTCACAAGACAGTCTGCTCCAGAGTCCCCACTCCTGACCGTGACACCATACCACCTTGTGAAAAATAACAGCAATCATTTATTAGCACTTACTAGGTGCTGGAGCTCTATCTGTATTCACCCATGCAATCATCACAACAACCCTATGAGGTCAATACCGTAATTACCGGTATCTTACAATGAGGGAATTGAGGAACAAAGAGGGACTTAGCTAAGGTTACAAAGCTAGTCAGGTCACACCTGCTTGCCTTGGGTCACAGCAAGTCAAGATCTAAAACAGGTAGTCTGGCCTCAGAGTTCACTCTCCCAACCACTATTCTATCTTGCTTCTCAGTGTTTCTGTGAATTTGCATCAGAGATGAACACATTTTAACTTGAAGTATAATGAAGGAATTGCAGTGTCCTAATATCTACATGAGCTTGCATGCCTTCAAAACTTCCTTCCTGCCGGGTACGGTGGCTCAAGGCTGTAATCCCAGCACTTTGGGAGGCCGAGGCGGATGGATCACGAGGTCAGGAGATTGAGACCATCCTGGCTAACATGGTGAAACCCCATCTCTACTAAAAATACAAAAAATTAGCCAGGCGTGGTGGCGGGCGCCTGTAGTCCCAGCTACTTGGGAGGCTGAGGCAGGGGAATGGCTTGAACCCAGGAGATAGAGCTTGTAGTGAGCCAAGATCATGCCACTGCACTCCAGCCTGGGTGACACAGCGACACTCGTGTCAAAAAAAAAAAAAAAATCTTCCTTCCTATGACCTTGTTGTCTCATATTCATCCCCTAGTGAGTATTTCATCTCCACTAAGATTCTACCTCACTGATTCAACCATATGTATTTCTCACTTTAAATACTTTTGAGAAACAGAATGCATTCTTGAATCCAACTTCAAACTCCAATATAAGAAAATTGTAGAGTAATACCTACTAGAAAAGCATGCTACTACGATCTAGCAGAATAAAAATTGAAAACAGGTTTTTAAAGTCCTAAATAAGAAAGTGCAACAAAAAATCTGCAGGGATTGGACACAAGGACCTGGGTATAAACGTGGTAAAAGTCAGTCTAGTTGGCTAACAATGTCAGGAAAGATGCAGCAAAATTAAACAGCTACAGGTTAACTAAACTTCCAGAAGGCCTATTGCCACTCCACTAACAAAACACAGCACACTGCAAAGCTGGCCACAATTTGAAATATGTGCTCATCAAAAGTGTTCAATTCCATGGAGATCATTTTTCTCGTAGACTATTCTCCAACATATGACATTTTTAATGGAAGTGAATAAAGAGAAATTTGCCTTATAGCAATTTTGCCTATCTAATGCAAAAAGCAACAACCATCCATCTTAACAGGCTTGAAATTTTGCCTTAGAATATCTCCATGTATAATGTGAGGATCTGTCTTTTTTTTTTCTTTTTTGAGACGGAGTCTTGCTCTGTCGCCCAGGCTAGATTGCAATGGCATGATCTCGGCTCACTGCAACCTCTGCCTCCCGGGTTCACGCCCTTCTCCTGCCTCAGCCTCCCGAGAAGCTGGGACTACAGGCGCCCGCCACCATGCCTGGCTTATTTTTTGTTTTTAGTAGAGATGGGGTTTCACCGTATTAGCCAGGATGGTCTTGATCTCCTGACCTGATAATCTGCCCACCTGGGCCTCCCAAAAGTGCTGGGATTACAGGCGTGAGCCACCAAGTCTGGCCGGATTTGTCTTCTTAAAGAATGTGACCCATGAAAATGAGGGAGACATGGCCTTTGCTCCACGAAGAAACGCAGCAACACTCCACGTTTCCTCACATTCATGTCCCTGAATGTGCTCCATAACCTCATTACCAATCCTAAAACATGACTTTCTTCTTTTCAACAATTAATATCTCCAAGGAAAAATCTGGCAGAAGGAAGAAACATGTTCTGTTCAATTTCTATTCTCAGTAAAATTTAGGGAAAAGAAAAGCTAATCCAAGGCTGCATTAATATCAAAGACTAACAATGTATATTCAGTTAACACAGACCCACCATACCTACTGATAGTTTCTTACAGTTGGATAAATCTGCCAGACAGTTCCCAATGCCTCTGTGTCATCGGAGGAGGGAAGCAGCTGCCACATGCTTAACTCATCAGTATCTTTAAAGATGCACTGTGTAATTACTTAACACGATCTTCATGCTTTAGCTCCCTGACACACACGGCAACCATATATTAAAACACAGAATCTTGAGAGTGTGGATGAAGTACTTCCAAATATAATCCTTTCCAGGTCTGCAAAATCATTGTCAGTCACAACTAAGGACAGCATTAGAAAAACATAAGCAGGCCCAGGCATTGTGGCTTGTCCCGGTAATCCCAGCACTTTGGGAGGCTAAGGCAGGTAGATCGCTGAGCCCAGCAGTTTGAGACCAGCCTGGATAACATAGCAAAGCTCTGTCTTTACAAAAAATTCAAAACTTAGTCCTGGCTACTCAGGAGGTTGAAGTCCGAGGATCACCCAAGCCTGGGGAGGCTTAGGCTGCAGTGAGCTGTGATGGAGCCCCTACACTCCAGCCTGGGCAACAGAATGAGACCGTCTCAAAAAAAAAAAAAAGGAAAACATAAGCAGTGTAACTAACAGTAAATTAATTCTAACACTGTTACCTTTAAAGTTTTATAGTAAATGGCTCTGTTGATTTCCAGTGGGAATAAATTTTGCTCTTCTCCTGAGCAAGCCCAATTCACATATCGCAGCCAGTTTCCCTTCTCTGGATCAGTGGCATCAATGCACATCCATCCCAAATTTGGGTAATATACCTTGAAAATGGAGAAAAATAAAAAACTTTTGTTAAAATAGGAGTATCTTTAAAATGTTTCCATTTTTAACTTTTAAGGATAATTCTTTTTCATTATATGCAAGTACTCTATATAAAGCATTTCATAAAAACAAAACAAGCGACAGAGAAAAGACAAATTCAAGGTGAAAACTGGAATTCAAAAGTGTAATTCTCACTATTTTTCTACTTAGGCTTGTTTCCACCCGCCCCACCACCCCCGCACACACACACACACACTCTTAAAGAGCTACAGTTAACATGCTTGATATCTCCAAATGCTTTACAAATATGTACACAGAGACAAATGACAACTATGCTCCGTTAAGTGTGACTCAGAAAGGAAAACAGCTTGCAGTGGTGTTCAGCAGCACAAAGATCCCAAGCTTTCTGGGTTGCTCCGCTAATCGAGTATGGCACCTGGCCCTGCCACGCTATACAATTCAGCAGGTCCCTTTCTGGCAGGGTTCACAGGGACTTCAGGAGTGAACAAGCATTGTGAACCAGGCACATGGGTGACAGGATATGATGCTTCTGCAAACTCAGCTGACCCTTAAAATAGACTCCATCCAAAGCATCTGCAAGGATGAAGGGGCAATGGAACAGACTCTGGGAAATATCAGTGGCCTTCAAAAAGAAAAGGACCAAAACTTTAACCCCTTTCAGGAATCAAATCAAATCTCCTCTTGCAAGAAGCCTTCCCTTCTCACCCACACCAATTCCTCCCACAGAGGCTTCCAGCACTTATTTATCATCCTTCATTTTAAAAGAACATCTATTTGGCAACTATTTTTAACTTTAATTTTGTGTATACATGCATATATATATATATATATATACACACATTTTCCCAAAACCAGTCTACAAAACACTCGAGTAGGCACTGAAACAGAACTGCAGAATCAACTGGCTGACAGACGTGCTGGGCAAAAGAAATGAGTCTTTTACTTTATTTTTAGGAAGAAAGGATATAATCTAGATGTTTCCATTTTTTCCTCATTATTCCCATCATTCATGCCTTCATCCCTCCCTTCCCCACATTAATTACCTTTCTTCACTGCACCTTTCCTTCTGGAACAAAGCTTCTACTCTGCCCACTGATAGTGAGGATGCTGCTCTTCTGGGCATGCCTGGGTGTCTAGGCCTGTGATTGCCAAGCGGCAGCATCCACCTTACTGGGCCCTACCACCGCCTTCTTCCTCTGGAAAGTCAAACATCAGGCATAATGCTACATGCCTGACATATTATCTCATTTAATCCTATGTAGCAGGCTTATTAGCTCTCCTTTCAACATGTGAAAATTGAGGCTCAAAAGTTAAATAACTTTCCCAAAGTCACCTGTTTAACTGTCATAAAGAAGGGCTTCAACTCAGATCTGCTTGTCTTCTATTTATCACTGCCTTCCTTGACCATCCTGGTTAACTGAACTACCAACATCTAATGAGCATCTACTGTGTAACAGGTACCATGCTACAAGGTGCATTGTAGTTACTTTAATCACCATAGGCACCAAGGAGAGTATCTGTACACAGTAACTTACACAGACATTATTCCCCCATCTGCAATATCAGCTGCCCCTGGGCTCAGGGATAGTAAGTTTCACTTTAATTTATTGCAGTGATGACAGAGTCCCACTCACTCCCCACCGGAATACTGGCACAGCTACCAAGACTGATGAGACTGCAGAGACAAACACAGACAGAGTTGCCAAGAAAACCACACAGTTCACAAGGTAGCTGGAGTCTATCTACCTGCCTCAGGATAAAAATACAGGTTGTGCCAGAACTTCCTGGCTCTCAGGTCAATACAGCCATATGCAAAAAGCAAAGTGTTACAGTTGAGTAAATTTTTTATTCATACGTAACTCATTTTGTTTCAGAGGAGACTAAGGCATCTTCTAAGTCATACTGACTGATGTACAAAAAGGGAATAGTTGTTTTTGTAGAAAAAGATGACACTTCAATTTTTAGAAATAGGCCAAGAAGTAATTCACAAACGAATACACGTAGCCAAAACCTCGTAATAGTAAACTCAGTTAATAAAAAATAACTTGAAAGTTAAAACAGTTTTAACCTTTTAAATGGGCACACACAAAAAATTTTTCTTAAAGATAGGAAAGGGTGTGGAAAAAAACAGATATTCCCCCAAACACTGCTGATCAGAAAACAGATTGATTTTGGAAAGAATTTAGCAGTACCTGACCAAAAAAAAAAAAAAAATCTTTAAAATATACACACACTAACCAGCACATACACTTGTAGGAATTCATTCTAATGAGATCATTGGACAACTGTACCCAGATGTATATACAAAAATGTTCACAGCAGTGTGGTTTACTGTAAATTGCTTCTAATTCATGGCTAAATGGAAAACAATATGGAATTAACTCAGTAAATTATGGTCCATCCATATAGCTGAAACCTAAGACACTAAAAAGTACTGTGGTACAAATGATTAATTAGATTATATGGCAAGATTTATTTCCTATTAGATATACCGATATACTTGAAAACTTTTTCCAATAAACATGAATTATTTCTGTAATTAGAAGACAGCAAAGATAACCAGATGTTGTGGAAATACACAGCATAAAGGCATTCACAATACATTTGATTGAATAAAGCATTTATAGGCCAGGCATGATGGCTCATGCCTTTAATCCCAGCACTTTGGGAGGCCGAGACAGGTGGATTATGAGGTCAGGAGATCAAGACCATCCTGGCTAACACGGCGAAACCCCGTCTCTACTAAAAATACAAAAAAATTAGCCAGGTGTGGTGGCAGGCACCTGTAGTCCCAGCTACTTGGGAGACTGAGGCAGGAGAATGGCGTGAACCCGGGGGGTGGAGCTTGCAGTGAACCGAGATCGCGCCACTGCACTCCACCCTGGGCGACAGAGTGAAACTCTGTCTCAAAAAAAAAATAAATAAAAAATAAATAAAAAAGCATTTATAAAAAGTATTTTTAAAGTATGTCATTTTTGTTTTAAGTATATGAACACATGAATATGAAAAGAAAAATAATCTGAAACTAAATACATTAAAATGTCAGCAATGGTTTTCTCTGAGAAGGGGGATAATCCGTAATTTTTATTTTCTTTAATTTTCTATCTTTCCCCCACTGATTTGGTATATTCTACATGGTAAAAATGGGAGGAAGGTGGGAAAAGCAAGTTAGTCTTCTGAATGAAAACCTAAGTTTGAATGAAGGTAGCCAAAGGTCTGAATGGTCTGCTGAATGCTAAGCTAAAATCTTCCTCATCTTCCTCTTCCTCCACAGATATTTCTAAAAATCTTATAGCTTTCACATTTTTATTGAGAGTTCAACTTATGTTTAAGAAACTGAGATTAAAATGTGTTTTCATACAATTCCCATCTTACTTGGTCAAACCTTTGTTTCCAATCAAATTAATTTCAGTGATTGACACACCGACCCTATCTCCAAAATGTGACATAATTTTGCTTCCTCTAACTATCAATGAATAACTAATTTCCAGATCTTTATAAGGGCCAACAAATATTCAACTGACTTGATCCCAGAGAAATACTACCTTATAATCAATTATCTTTTTATTGATTTAGTCTATAAAACAGTCCTTTTTAAAAAGGCAAAGGTATCTAATTATGTACCATGAAAAATGAATTTTGACAAGTTAACTAACTTTCAAATTCAAACTCCCTACTTCGAAAGAACGAAGAAAGAGAGGGACCACTGAACCAAGCAGTGGGCTAGATGACTTACATGTTATTTAACTCTTTTAAGAATTTATAAAATAGGCCTGGCGTGATGCCTATAATCGCAGCACTTTGGGAGGCCGAGGCAGGTCGATCACCTGAGGTCAAGAGTTTGAGACCAGCCTGGCCAACATGGTGAAATCCTGTCTCTACTAAAAATACAAAAAATTAGCTGGGCATGGTGACAGGCACCTGTAACCCCAGCTACGCAGGAGGCTGATGCAGGACAATAGCTTGAACCTAGGAGGTGGGGGTTGCAGTGAGCTGAGATCGCCCCATTGCACTACAGCCTGGGCAACAAGAGCAAAAGCTCCGTCTCAAAAAAAAAAAAAAAAAAGAATTTATAAAATAACTATGAAATATCACTAAGCTCCTTTATAAGTAAACAAACTTACGGAAGGTTGGTAACTTCAACAGGACAATTAAGTCACTAAAAATCACAGCCAGGATTCAAACCTGATCCCCTCATTTCTTCCTATGCCAAAATAAAACAGATATGCAGACAGGCAAAGAGTTCTCAGCTTGCCTTTCTATTTTCCCTCTTTCCAGACCCTTCTTTCCATCCCTAACCTCCCACAAGTTGGTCAGGCCCTACCTCCTTTCTGCCTCTACCACCTACCAGAGACTGAGTAGTAATTCTTGTCAAGCAGAATGTAATTTTCAGACCACCCAATTTCCATTCAATTTAATCCAGTTATAAAATAGCTATAAAATAATCTAAATTCAAATTTTAGTACATGTGCCAATTTAAATACACATTCAAAATTAAATATTTTATGCTATATAGAGAAAGGTTTGCAAAGAACAAACCAAATTATTAGTTACCTCAGGGGATAGGAGTGAGGGTTATAACTTATAGCCTTCCTTATCATCTACCTATTACATGTATTAATTCAAATTTATAAATTAAAAAAAAATTCTGATTCAACTATTGCAAACATACCATCATTGGAATCCTCAACTGTTCACCTATAAGCACCTCACTCAATCAAAACTTACAGTAACCAGCTTATTTTGATAGAAACCACTCAGGAATTAGGACAAGGCAATGAAGAAACCTCCTCATACTATAGCAACTCCCATGTTGAGAGAAAATTTATCTTCACTCAAACCAGCTCTCCAAAGTTAGAGTCTACAGCAATAAAACCATTTCTGCTGGCTGTTCTCTGGATTTCCCTTCCACTGCACGTAACCTGGGGCTCTAACACATGGAGACAGAATCTCTCTTGGAGACCTGAGCTCCCATTTC